GAATATAAAATATTAGTAATGAACTTGAATTCTGATTTGATGCTTGATATAATACTTACTCTAAGTTAAATAATAAAATAGCTTCGAGAAATATTTAGTTATTATTTTAAAATTAGAAATTTAATTCTAACAAATAACATACTTTTTAATCCAATAATCATATTTCTTCTTATGAAATTCTACGCCAATTCCATATCTGTAACAAATAGCTAGTTTAAAAATTCCTTTAGAATTACCTGCCTTAGCTGATATAAAAATAAGGTAGCTGCATGACGCTGTCACGCGAAACTAGAACGTATATTTGATAATTTGTTGAATATATGTTTTAATGATAAACAAATTTTTTTATTATGCTGAGAGATTAAAGATTAGAATTTATATTCATATTGGTTTATTGTAAATTTATTATTTGATTAAGTACATATTAAATATGAAATTTGTTAAACAGTATCATTTTGATCACAATATTCGTCTGGCCATTTCTCTAACTTTGTTGTAAGTTTTGCACATTCTTCTAGATATTTAATTTCTGCACTAAGTGTAGGTGGTAAATTCATATTCAATAAAGATTCGTCAAAGGGGTGTAAAAATAATAAATCATTTAATCTGCATATTCTAGAGAGTATGACATACGTGCTATTATAAGTATTAGCATTTGATAGGTCGATCACTGCTTTATCCAAAGTTCGACCTTGGCATTTATAGTCAGTAAAAGCATAAGCTAGAGTTAAAGGAAGTTGAAATCGTTGAAATTGACATTGTGACTTAGTTCCATCAAGTTTCCATATAGTATACAAGCAAGCTCTTTTTACAGGGTATATTGGTACATGGTTGAGGTATAGATTTTCATAAGATCTGGCTGTAGCATTGATCAATTCAATGATAATATACTTGGGAGGGTTTTTGAGAATTATGATTTTTTATCTTGATCTAAAGAATGAATAGAGTTTTCATGATATATGATTTGTTTGATAATTCTAGAAGTACCGTTTGCTAAATTATCACCAATACAGATGTTTACTGTTAATATAATTTTCATTCTAATAAAAAGGGGTAAAATTCCACTAAGTACATTTTCTCTTGTATCCGATACAGATAAAAATTTTTTACGTATATTTCCTTTTAAAGGATGTTGACAGTAAGTATCTTCTGCGCATGAATAGATAAGTAATCTATTTTGTTTTTGAGCATTTTCTATAGTAGTATCATAATTTAATTGAACGCGAATATCGTTTCTTGTAACTAAAAATGTTGCATTATCTCATTGTGATTATTTATCTGTTCGTCTCGAATAATTTTTGAACGTAATGATAAACGTTGATTCTCTGTAACAGTACCTTTACGTATGTTTTCTAAAATAGATGCATAAAATAGATCATCTATTTGATGCATTAATTTTTTTAATATGATAACATATTTGATAATTAACTATAGGTTCCTGTCTATTGTATTTAAGACTTGACAGTTATTAAATAAGTATTTATTTTTGCATTTATTGTATTTTGATGGAATTTCTATGTTATTAGATAATTATGAATTATTTGGTAAAGTGTAGTGGGTAGTTTTATCTGGAACATATAATGCAGGGTCCATAACTAGAGGTAATTGTATGAAGTCTTCAGAAAAGAAAATATTTAATTTGACAAATGGAGCAGATATATCTGTTCTTTTTACAGCTTTTAAAAAAGCATAAAATCATGCAAGTAAAGATTTTCCTATCATAGAAATCTCATCAATAATGATATATTTTATATTGTTCCAGAATTCTTATAATTTTTGCAAGGAGTCTCTTGTGGGGACGTTATGGTTTTTACCATAGTCCTCAAAACCAAAACCATAGGCAGAATAAATTGTGTAACCAGATATAAGAGCAGCAGCAATGCCTGTAGATACAAGAATGATAATGGTATGATGTTGTGACATATATTCAAAATAAGAAATTATTGATTTGATGACTTTAGTTTTTCCTGTGCCTTCTGCACCTGTAAGGTATAGTAGTAAATGTGATAGCTTATCAATAGCATTTGGCACATTTCTTCGATGATGATCGCATACTAGAAAGTACGCTTTCATTTGTTCTTTATTTAATCCTATTGAAAATTTTTCTATACCTATATAGTGATTTTGTATAATTAAGTTATTATTTGTAGTCAGTTTATTGTCAGAAGGTATTATAGATGTGTTTAATAAGATATTATCAGTATCATTTATGTTATAATCCTGAAAAATTGTTTTTCTAGAAGAAATAGTTGTTTGCCATATCTTAAGAAGTTTATCATCATAGTTATTACTTATTCGAATTTCATTATCAGATAATAAGACCTTTTCACCTCAATAAAAGGTAACTCACAAAGAGTTTGAAATAGTACTTCGAAGAATATTTAGTAGAAGTCATGAGTTTGAGTAAAATACTAATAATAGTCGAAAGTAAAATTGTTATCATTATTTTTTGTCCTCGTGACCCTCAAAAAAACCTAATAATGTTAATTAGTAAAAGATAGAGAAAGAGATCTGATTAATAAACAGATTATTTATATATTAAAATTCTTAAAGTGATTAGATTTGTGATCAACATTATTAAATAGATTACTTACTGGAAATTATTGAATATCATGTCCCTGTGATTCAAATCCCATGACTCGCACTAGAGATAACAAAAACTGAATTCAGTTTTTGTTTCAAAATAGTAAAAATCGAATACTTAGTAAAAGCACTATAGTAATATTGGAAGTAGTAGAAGAACCTAAATAAGAATCAGATACTTATCCTAAAAAGTAATTCCAATACCAAATTAACTGCAGCAATATGCCTCAAGACCTAAAACTCGAACCATATCTTTCACAACTCGATCGAAGTCTGCTATTTAGAGATTTTGGTATTGGAATAGCAGTGTATAGCATTAGGTCCTCATGTAACCATTCCAGAAGTTAAGTTCTAACTAGAACTAGTAACGACTTTCTCAATACATAGCCACAATAAATTAACCAAAGAAGCTAGTATAAGGATTTATCTTTATCTCATAATAAACCTGATAGATTTATGTAATATTTGTGATACAAATTCCTAAACGTACAGTATTCAATATCATATTCTTTTACCTTATAATAATGTCAAATAATTTTTTTTATGTTAATTCAAATATATAATTATCATGATCATTTAACCGAATTAAGTCATTATTATTATTATTACAGATAAGTATGTTAAACTAGTTCGATCTGGATCATGAGATCAATAATTATATAACGTAAAAGTAAAAGTATAACCAAAAAAAGGATGCATATTGAGAAGATGTGAACTGGTTCTGAGACAGAACTAGACTGGAGACTAGGTCACACCAAGGTTCGTAGATCAACAAATCAACAAACAAATACTACAAATCTAATAATCAACCTTACGTTAGAAGGCTGAAAGAGTGCGTAAAGAATTTGGTCTGAGTTGTAAGGTTGCAGAGAGGATTTATTCAGGTGAGTATTGTTTAATTCTTAGTCTTTAATTTTTGTTGATTCGGGTTTGGTCTTTCAGTTTCTTTATACTTTTGGTTTTTATCATATAGCACATAATCTGGATTTCGTTCCGATTGGTTATTGATTTAACAATAGTAATTCTTATTCATAAGGGTTTCTCTATAAGACAATCTAGGGGTGATCAATTGGTTGTTTTACTGATTTGGCAGTTTAAC